CTACCTATTTACTATTATTTGTAAGAATATCATTAATAAAAATCCTTTACAACTTGATCTGCGTACACCACTCACATAATTTAATTAAAGACACCGCGTAATTCAATGCCATGGCAACGAAGCCAGCGGAGCGTCAACATCAAGACGCGCGACGGAATATAGGATCAGAATACCTCGCGTATGTAATTCCAGACGGAAGAAGGTTCCAATGCTAAATTTGTATGAATACCGCTTAAAAATTAGGAAAATTTTATGATAAACCGATGCCTAAATCAGGCCAGTCTTACGAACACACAAAACTCAAGTTGGAAAGTTTCAGACGGCAATTCGATCGCGCATTACATCGTTGCAGAAGTATGTATATTGTATTGACATTGCCGAACGACGACTTGTTAAGCTTTTGTGATAGATGAACTAATGCTCATAAATGCACCATAAACAAATGCCAATATTGACACATTTTGATTGACTGAAGCAGAAGCTGCTTCGTGATTGACAATCAGCAAAAATTGCATCAGCAATTCCTTTTTAGCTGTCGATGGAATTCGTACCGCGATATCCTGTTCAAAGTCCACAATCATGAACGAGGATCGTCGGCATAGGTCGCAGCCTTCTAATAAACAATAGTTATAGACAAAGAAAGAAGCATTAACCTCATTATTAGGATATTAGTCATATCACCTCTCATTTGTATGAGCATAATTAAAAAATAGTCATATACATGCGTAAATCGTTACTCAATACAATAAATCATGAACTTATCACGCAACAATTTGAAACTTTTTTGATAGCATCAATAACCCATTTTGATATCAAGTTCGATTGAAAAATAGCGTTCAAGCAATCGGTATAGACGTAAATTGAAGGATTATAATGCCGAATGGCATTGTGCCTTTTTTGCCGTACGTGATTTGTTCACCTGAATGATTCATAAATTTTCTTGAACCATTCGTCTTCATGAATATACGCACCTGGGATTCTCTCTGTGCTATGGAAGGCATGTCCAAATTCAACATATACAAGTACATATAAATTAAACGTGTTCCTGAACCGTATGATCATCTTTGACTGCAAGTGTATGAACATATGAACATGCACGTTTATATTTGTACATTTTTACCGTAGTACTTTTTTGAGATATGTCCTTAATTCGAAGCTTGAGTGACATGCGTGTTTCTCAGGGCATGCGTGAAGTGTGCGCTCATATTTTCATTTGGATCAGGAAAGCATGTGTGGCATGTGCAGGCATGTGTGGCATGTATAACATGTGCACCGAGCAGGCATGTAAGTAAATATATGTGGCATGTGTTTCAGGCGTGGCATGGGTGGCATGTGCAGGCATATGTGTTATGCGCAAGCATGCATNTGTCTCTTATACACAACTCGAGGAACTAATGGGGAAAAACCTGAAATTTTCGTTTCTAGTTCACTTGTGTCAAAAAATAGACTCAAGAGCTAAAAAGTAGTACATAAGCTGATTAAGCACGAAAATGATTCATGGCAAGTGATCTATGACAACGTATCGATATTAGCAGAAACTTTTTGTTAAATTAAATGACAAAAATAAATTTTCGCCGTCTTACTACAGAAATTAATAGCGGGTCAAATTAATCAATAATTGTGGTCAGTTTTGGTTAAAAATGCAGTTTTGATATTTTATCGGAAAAATGTATAGAGAAAATATCGTTATACGTAGCCTCGCAGCAAAAAAAACGCACCGCAGAAGATGACGCATAAAACTTTGAATGCGCGGCATCCCGAACACGTGTTCGATTCTTATGTAAGTCCTGATAATTAAATGATTGAACTAATTTTGGTTTATAACTTACGCAGTGAAAATTTAACGATCAACATTTTTACAATAAATCTAACAATTTCGTAACAGAAAGAAAAATGCATGAGTTTGCACAGAAAAAGAGGTTTGGCTGATTATACTACATCAATTTTTTTGTGCATTTTTTTTGCCGTACGTGATTTCTTCACCTGAATGATTTATAAATTTTCATGAACCATTCGTCTTCATGCATATACGCACACGGGATCACACTGGCACGCAAACCTGTGCGTGTGAACTAAGTTTTCTCGAGACTCATGTGACATTGTTTGCACAATAAGCAGGAGTGACATTGTGTCTAAGCTTGTCGCTTAAAAATAACAGAACTAAAATATTAGATCCAAGTCTTCGGTATATCGTGCGTCACGTTCTGATAATAGCACTGTTGATAAACAATCAGTGACAGCCACTGAAGCAGAACGTGATTCCGGTAGCGTCTTCTGCAATATAGCGGTAATATTAGTTCTGTTATATCAGTTGAGGAAAACTCTACATGTTTACATGATGAATTATTATTTAATCGCAGCCTGAAATCAACAACGAACATTTTTACAATAAATCTATCAATTTCGTAACAGAAAGAAAAATGCATGAGTTTGCACAGAAAAAGAGGTTTGGCTGATTATACTACATCAATTTTCCAACATAATCTTCTTGGAAAACAGTTTTCAAATTATGAACACAAAAATAGTTTAGAAACCGGTTCGGTCGCTGAAATCTTAAAATTCAGCTCCTTTGTCTTTTCAAATATTATATTTAGGAAAACAATTGTAATGTAAAGGTTTTAAAGAAGTTCTAGATACTTTAATTTATATGCTTAAAAAATATGGAATCGCATCCGAATGTATAATAGATGACTAGGAGAAATCTATGAAAGTTAAAATTTATTTAAAATTTTTGTAAATTGGAATAATACAGAATGGAAATATTCGTAGAATATTTTATTGTTATATTCGTTTTAGGATACTTTCAAATTGAATATTCATGATTAAAAAAAACTTCACAAAGCCCATACACATACACGCGTCCTTCAGTGGAAACTTTTGGTCGGCCAATTGGCGACCAAATAATGGACTAAACATGTGCAATAATACTCATCAATAGTCAACTAAAGGTAACACTAAAGGTAATTAGTAACCAACGATAATCTTTCTGCAAATTCTATTCTTGGAAATCTCGAACCGTCAGTGCGCGCTCAGCGAGGAAATAAACAACTCCCCTCGCTCGAACTCTCCCCTCTGTTGTTGAAACGCTCCAATTCTTCCCTCACGGAAAAAAATCAAGAAGAAATAAATAAAAAATCCAGTCTCGGGACCCAACGCATTCGTTGATTATCCACGATACCCGGATGAAAATTTTTTCCGTATCAGTAAAGGAATATTTTCGACGTTTCGCAGGCCATATAAAAAACGCTGTTGGAAAGGAACTTAGAAGTGCAACCGCCCTGTACTCGGCTCCAAGTTTCATGCCGATGAATTCGTTAAGAGTTTTTCATCTGCACTTATTCCGGCTCATTTGTGAAGGCAATGTGGAAACGTGACGCCTATACGCGAGCATAGCAACGGCATCGGCAAGTTTTTGTAGGCGAACAATGGGAAAAAGCGACATTTCAAAGGAAGCACTTGTTAAGGTGCCAACAAAACACGAAAAAAGTAGGCAAAAAAAGTAAAACTAAATGTAAAGACAGAATATAGACAAAGTTAGGGAAGAAATACGACAAATATGAAATAAATGTTCCAAACGTTTCACGCAAACTTTCATGGAGAATTTTAATTTTAAAAGTGCATTATAAATCAACTTATTACCATATAACATTCAACCAAAATAAAGGCAAATGGCATATGCTCTGTCCGACTTGTGAAGGGAATCTAACAGCCTAAAGAAAACTTCAAAGTAACTTACTATCACAGGAGGTACAGAAACATACATGAGCTTCTTTCTGTACAGCAATAAATAATTCACGATACAAATCTACAAGAAGGGGCGGCAGAAAGCTCGTACTAGGATTCCTATCTTAAGCTCGCATAATATTAATAGCAGCAGTAATAGAGCAAGCAACGCGTGAGACAATCTCAAGCCATGCGACAACCGTGATATGAGTAATCGGGGGCCAAAATCAAACAAATTTCGCAGTACGAATATGAACTGATTCAAAAGCCACGCAGGGATGTTTAAATTCTTCAGTTAGGGTTAAAAAATTTGAAGGAATAAATATAGACCATGGGAGAAAAAAATCTAGACGGCAATGTGATGGATGACTTGCCGTGAGGTGTGCGAACAACTCGAGGAACTAATGGGGAAAAACCTGAAATTTTCGTTTCTAGTTCACTTGTGTCAAAAAATAGACTCAAGAGCTAAAAAGTAGTACATAAGCTGATTAAGCACGAAAATGATTCATGGCAAGTGATCTATGACAACGTATCGATATTAGCAGAAACTTTTTGTTAAATTAAATGACAAAAATAAATTTTCGCCGTCTTACTACAGAAATTAATAGCGGGTCAAATTAATCAATAATTGTGGTCAGTTTGTTTAAAAATGCAGTTTTGATATTTTATCGGAAAAATGTATAGAGAAAATATCGTTATACATAGCCTCGCAGCAAAAAGTCCTGATAAATTATTGAACTAATATTGGTTTATAGCTTACGCAGTGAAAGTTTAACGCTCAACAATTTTACAATATAATTGGCTGGTTATAGAATGCACATAATACACTAAATTGTGGTCATATTAATGCAGACTGAACACGGTAAGACGCTCTAAATTAAACCAAGTAAAAGAAAAAATACAATGATAAATAAAATAAACGAAGAATTTTATGAATCTTAAATCAAAATTATACTTTTATTTATTTTACTACAAATTGATGATGAATTGAGATTTTCATTTAATGGCATTAGAATGTTTGAGACCTCCGTCTAATAAATAAATTGTATATCATTAAAAAGTTTAAATGAACAGTTCAATAATTTAGTATCATTTGAGTAGTTCCAAAAAATATGAACAATAATAAAATATGTAATAAATCATAGTGTAGAATGAACAATTCTGCACTGAAGCCATAGCTCACATGGAAGAGATACAAAATTTTTCCATGTCACAAAGAGTCAGATTGCTTACAAGCGGAAGTAGGTAAAAAAAGACGATTCCGAGTAAAATCTCACCTGAAGGTAGCGACGACGTTTGTGGTCGGCCATCCCATAACAAAGGAAGTGTCGTGACTTTTGGAGACTTCAGCTACGTCTTCAAGACAAGAGGACAACCACATCTCCGATACTCGAACCTTCTCCTTGAGCTTGAAGTTGCCACCGCTGCGAGACTTTGCGACCAGCAACAGGTCGGAGAACAGGAACAAGTGTCGCTCCTGAGACTGCACGCCCTGCAACACATCATTTTATTCGTCATTGAAGTAATTTTTGATTAGAAAATACACGTCAACAAATATTGCGGGAAACACATTAAGAGATTTACGGTAAAAATAAAAAGGGAGAGTGAATTCTCCTTAAAAATAAAGAGAGTGAATTCAAATACATTGTGGTAAATTAAAAAGGAGCGTTTTAAACTTTGTTCACTAGAAATCTAAATTATCTCGGCATCGTTAAACGACCTCGATGAACTTAATAAAATAACTTAAAATAAATGCTCCACAGGCATCCCCAGAAGAAACGTATTGCTGAGAATGACAAGAATTAAAATGGTTAAGATTTGCATGGTTAGCAAAATGTATTCTTGCCCGTGCATTTAAACGGGATGCAAACACAAGCATAACAAAAGGTTGTTGTCTACACGCAAGTCTCGCCTATCAGTCAAATGCATCGTTAATCCCGGGGGCACGCCAATCTCGGCGCTCTTGAACGATAGCAAAACACGAGGGACGTTATAAGGTCGCAGGGCAATGCATTACAAGCGGCCTCCGGTTGCCTAATTGTCAATAAGACGACAGCATAGCGAATCGAGAGCGTTGATCTCCGCTGATTTCATGAATTGATTATATCCATTGCTGTATCATATTATAAAAGAGAAAATTATTCTGAAGAAATTACTTAAAGGGGCAACGTTTTTTTAAATAAGCTTGTCATATTCCAGCAACGTGACTACAAAGAATGTGAATATTATCTTGAATATTTGTGTAACAATAGTAGCGTTAAGAAGTTTATAGGCAATTAATGCAAGGAATGTATAACTGTCTGAAAAACGAAGTGCTAAAGCATTAACATGACGAATTCATTCGGCATAACAAAAAATAATTAATCAGAATCAAAACGCTGCCACAAGATGTAGCGAGTCTTCAGGGCATTGCAAATTAAAATCCGTCGATTATCTTCTAGAAGTTGGAAGCAACAATTTTTACAGAGGAAAGTGGCTGCTGTTGAAATAGATTGTTCAGTTATTTTTCATCCTAAATGTGCCGAAGCTGCTGAAGAGCAAACTTTGTGCGAGCAACTGAAGAACAGTCCAGCCGGAAAATTCTAAGGACGAAAGGCAGGTGGAGGCGGCACAGCCTTCCGTAATTCGCCTTAAATTTTACAGAGAACTGAGACAAAAAAAAGAGGCAGAGGTTACAGGTGGCATAGCACCTATGAACCCATGCACGAATGAATGACCATATAGAGATGAAATGAATGACCATGTAGAGATGAAATGAACGACCATATAGAGAAAACGAATAACCATATATCTAATGAAAGTAATAACCTTAAACAGATGAAACGAATAAATGTAGAGGCGGGTCAAATGACAATATACAAATAGATATTGTCTATTTCAAAATTTTCAATAAAAATCGTTCAAAAATATGTTGCCAGAGATGCCTTTATGTATACTTGAGTGTTTTTTTTTTTTCGCTTGTACGTAATTAAAATAAAGCACGAATAAAAAGAAAATTAATAACCGCATGTTCATAGTACCCATTCGTTTAGACCCGAAATTAGCTTTTTACAAATTAGAAATAATCAGATTTTTGCATAAAATAATCGTTGCATTCTGTACTGGCAGAAATAATCTGATACGTCGTAATTTGATTCAGAAAAATTATAAATTGCACCGATTGTAAAAAATTTAATTCACATAGAATTTATCATTCAACAAACGTGTTTCTATAGCAAGCAGTTTTAATTAAAACTTATGACGCTAATAGGCTAGTAAAACATTAGAACGAGATATTTAAGATATACGAAACTTAAGACACGAAATGCTCGAACCTCAAATTTCCAAGTTATGAAATATTTAATACAAGAGCTTAAGGCTCCACAATTTGAAGGGATTTGTGTACAAATTATTATTATCAGAGACTCCAACAAAGCATAGGCGACATTTTGGTGGCATAGGCAGGAGTAACTGACCGTGGAGGTCGACCCAATGGTCAAAAGGCAGGAAAAAAAATCCCGAAAATATGCCTAGATCACAAAACAAAGATTTTCCAGCTGGAAAATTTTCAAAAACAAACACACAACGCGGCACAAAAAAAAATGATGCGCCTCAGAGCGAAGCACAAATGGAATAGCTCAGTCCAGTCTCTAGCCCTAGCTTAATGGAAATTTATCATTCTTTAGACAGTCATGAATTTCCAGAAAATCAGTACGTGAGATAAAACTTGAGTACCCGTGAGTATATCCGGCGAAATATAAAAAAATCATCTTACTATATTCTAAGAGAATCAAACGACTGGTAATTGAAATAAGGAACATCTTTCAGGTTCTTCCTATATTCAGCTGGACTATTCCATCACATCGGCTCACGAATCCCTTTCCCATATTCAACAAAATTCGCCCAGCATCGCAATTTGGTACCCGAATAATTTTTTTAATTTTGAAAAGTTCAAATTTTTTACTTTTCAGAACGTTAATATTGTCAAATCGAACTATTGCAAACAAATTCTCTAATAATCATGACGGCAAGGTGTAAGGTCAATTTGTTATTCGACCGCGGCAAAGAACGATCGAGTTGAATCAAATCTCCCCAGACATCTAAGAAGATTTATGTTTCACGGCTTAGCAAATTTAAAATTAGAAAGGATACAGTCAAGGCCAAAAGTTCAATGCCAGATGACATGTCGATCGGGCATGTACCCTGGTGAAATTATGTGATATTTGTTGGTTGTCGGCGCTGCACTGACGATCGCCCATCAAAAATCTACGAATGATCTTTATCGAAGTTGACCGAAGCATGACCGTTTCGTGAGAAGCGTGAGAAACTTTCGAACAATCACATGTTAATCGGAGACGTTCGATATTCGTACGTTCAATGGCTAACCTAACCTAACCGATTCTATAAATCGGCGAAATCTATAAATCTTAGAACAATAAAACTGGGTTCGTTCAATTCCAAGCACATATCGATCTTATAATTCGTCGATGTGTGTGTAATTGGACAAACTAAAGTTACATCTGAATGCAGTGCCACAATCTCAATTTAACGGCAAGTGTATTCTAAGCCGTAACAGGACGAAAGTTTGCACCTCGATCCAACAATGCACGTTCGTCATTAATCAGTATAAAATATACCTTGATTTAGTGATGCACGTACTGTTTGTTCAACGTTTCGAGGCCATAATAACTGTGTACCCATACCAGAGGAGAGACGTACATGATAGAACCACATCAGACTATAAATTTGCACTGGGCATCGACATCCCATGCATATAGTAAAACCTCGATGACCAAGCCTTACGCTTTTACTTTACACAAAAATCTAGCAATCCATGAGTATGAGCTCAACACCGTGATCTAGCCATCCATGAGTGTAGATTTTGCAACTCTATATGGCGATCCACGGGCAGGTGCTATTAACCATGATCTAGCGATCCATCAGAATGAGCTCCACATCGCGATCTAGCTATCCATGAATATGGGCTCCACACCTCGATCTAGCAATCCACGAGTATGGGTTCAACAAATCGATCTAGCGACCTATGGCTAGAGTTCTATACACATCGATCTAGCAATTCATGGGCATGGGCTTTTTACATCGATCCGACGACGCACACGGCGATTGTAGTTTCCCGCACTACAAGCGATCGTGCTTTTCAAAATCGCAAATTATATGCTCTGCCGTGAAGACCCATCCTGGCTTTCTCTGTCGGGGTTAAATAAGCGGCAGCTGTGTCATGTATAAGCTAGGGCCAGCGCCCGCTGGATCATTTCGTACGCCCTCGGGCGGTGACTTACCTAAAAAAACAGCACCGACAAATTGCGGGGGCGAACGAGTATCGTATGAAAATATCAGCATGAAAGGATCGAGAGAAGCACCTTAGAAATGACCCGTCAGTGAACGCGCTCTCAGCTGAATTGAAAACTTTAGAGAAATAATATATTCTACCCGTTGAAAGTCTTTTTAAAGAAATAAACTGAGAGATGAGAGTTACAATTTTGCTTGAGTATATAAGAAGATAAAAAATGTATATAATTTTGATTTAATGTTGATTCGAAGATTCACGAACAAAATATATAGTGCACATGTTGGAAAGTGTTTCATGTTCATTTTAGGCTTCATCTGCACCGCGAGAATTCCGCTTACACCAAACTTTGGACCCGGTATTTTATTTGCGAAAAATTTCAGTAACTAAATGCATCAACCCATTAAAAAATCACCCATAGGATGAAAAAAATTAAGCTGGTACAATCGAAGGGGATTCGAGCAGCGCGTATATATGAAAGGCTGGGGAAGCAGCGTTTCAAATAAGGCACTGAAAGAGAACTTGTTCCTGCCGCGAGATTACGGCCATCACAGGCGGCTTCGGATTGATCTTTCTTGGATATCAAAGTCTGCTAGACACAAACTTGATACAAAGCGGGCTGATGAAGGGATTGATGTACGAGGTTCTGAAGGTGTTCTATTGGGAAAACGTAAATACCTGCAACTTGAACGTAGAAATCGTAAAATAGGAGCTGAATACTTAATGAAATTAGTCAGTGAAATTCTGTCTGAGCTTTGCATTAAATACATTTTGAACCAAATCTACTCACAAATGTGGATGCAAAAATTTAATGCACTTTTTCATGAATTAGTTCATTTCTGGAACATTGTAGGATACAAAACCTTTAATGCGAGCTGGAAGCGGATTTAACGTGAATTATTTGCCACCAGTATCACCATTGATCATGGAATTTCATCATTACTTTCATTAGTAGCTTTTCAAGTAACCAGATTGTGGGATAGATATTTTCGAGGTTTGCCGTAAATTCAATAGGACGAGAAAAAATTCAAATTGCGATGAATTAACTATGGAAATAATTATTTAAGGACCAATTCTAAATTTTTTCGCATACAATTCTGTATTTTTTACTGCCCACATTTTTCTTCTGACATAACTTCAATGCTTTTCACCAGCTTCAACTCCACATAATTTTCATGAATACCCAACTCAGGGCCAAGACTCAAATCCTGTGTGGTCCAGCGATACACAAGCGAGCGCCTGTGTAGCGTGTCCAGGTATCGACAGCAGCATCGCTCAGCTCCACGGTATACATCGACGCCGACGATCAACTATGAACCCCGACCGCAGCTACGATAAATAAAGAAGGTACATCGGCTAAACCGGCTTCTTCGATCGAAAGAGCAAGTGAAAATGAAAACCAAAAGAAAAGAAACAAAAAACTAAATATAATATAAATCCTGAAGTTCAGAAGATAACCGAATGAAAAAACGCTTTTTGTGATGATGAAACTTTCACACGAAATGAGAATAAACTCCCTTAATACGTGGTCAATAAAATATTACTGCTATAACAATCCCCTAATAAACTGAAAAATTGATTTTTCCAGTGACATTTCAGACTGAAAAAAAACAAGTGTTAGCATTAAAATAACCCACAGACAAAAATACAACCGTTAGCGTTAAAGCATTAAATAAATAGACTTTAGTGTGTAGGCAATAAATAAAAAAAAATGAAATAAGCTTGTGTTGGGGAAAAAAACTGCGGTAGAAAAGCCTCTGCTTTAAGGCAATTAACAGGGAAAAAAACAGGCATTGTTTAAGGAAGATGAAATGCAAAAAAAAAATCTGACGAGGTACCAGGTAAAATGTTACTGAAACATGTGTAGAATCTGTCACATTGTAATAACGAAGAAAACCTAACATGGATTAGTTTGAGTTTTCATATGCAGGATCAAATGGTTCAACGTGACTGACATATTTAGAGCTAATCATAAATTCATGTTTTATTAATAATGTTATAATCAACTATGTTGAGATACTACTATGTTTTATTATGTTAACTGAGTACGTAAAAAGAGGTAATTTCGTCGCCATTTACTGAATAATTATATACGATTCTCTCAATTCCCAAGTTATTCATATTTAAGGAATGAATATAAACTAGCACTAATGGATGACAAAAGCTCATAATGACAGATTTTTCTTCAAATTATAAAACCGCACTCATTTCATTAAGAAATGCAACCCAAAAATTCAGTGTTCAAGGTTATTTATAGAACGAAACGTGATTCGACGCTGACCGACAACAAAATGTTCTCGGGACGTATTTTTTTAGTCAAAGGCAAGGATCAGTACGCCGATCTTCTGTTGATTTTAAGGCGGATCAAATAACGCGTAATCCGACGAAAAATATCAAATGACTGCGGATTAATTGATCCCATGGGAGATACGAAGCTCCGGTTCAGGAGAACCAACCTAACGCGACGGATCACAGACTAACATGAAAACACGTGAGTGGGTCTAAAGGAGAACAAACAAATTCTGGAAATTAAGGTCAATTATGCCAATGATTTGGAGAGTTAGAAGGACGAAAGAATATGAGATATGCAGTTACTCCAAGGACTTTTATTGTTTGAAGATCAGAATACTTATTTTCAAGTTAACTTATTTCATGGAAGGTTCCTTTTGAGCTCAGCAGGATATATTGCGGCACACGCGTCGAAGCTCATACTTCAAGTCGAGTTGGCGATACAGTTTTGAGATAGCGCCAAAATGTAAAGTCGCTTCAGCTCCAACGGAATCTTTGGTGTTTTACAACGTAAAACGGAACCAATACGACACACTAGGAAAAAATGGAGTACAAGGCGCTCGCTTAGAATGTAAAAGATTCTAAAGATAAAGCAGGTCAGAGATGAGAATGGTTATAATTACTTAGGAAATTGAGCCTGTTTTTTTTTTATTTAAGAAAAGGTTCACAAAGAGAGAAATATTCACACATGTTTCACTGTTGCAGCAGACACAGAAATAGTCAGTAACAAAAAATCGAGGGAATTTTACTCACGGTAGTAAACTGGACAGGAGTTTCCATAATGAAGTGACGTTTGGGCCGAGGCATCGAGACAGAAGAGTTGCTGCAGTCGTTGTGGTAGAGACTGCCGTTGTTGTGGTGCCTTGATGTATTGTTGTGTGGTGACATGTTTGTGTGGTGCCCTGATGTGTTGTTATGTGGTGACATGTTGTTGTGGTGTCCTGATATGTTGTTGTGAGGCGACATGTTGCTCAGGTGCCCCGATGTGTTGCTGTGAGGGGACAAGGCGTCAGTGGCTGCATCGGGATAGCCATTGTTGATGCTGCTGTTCACACTACTATTGTTAATGCCATAGTTGATGTCATTGTTGGAAGCATTGTTGTTGTTGTTGTTGTTGTTAGGCGAGTCGCTGATTTGACCTCGGAGTCCCTTGGCGCTGAAAGCGCGCTGCAACCGAGCTGCAGTTGTGGAGCGTTTCCTCATGAGTCCCTTCATTTTCTGCGAGAAAAATAGAGTGCACGTTAAAGCGGCTCTGTTATTTACCCTAAAACAGCAATAAATCTTCCAGCCTAATGTTTAACACGAGTTGAAGACATGATTTGTTATGTTGAAATCATGTAGTGAAACCGCTTTACGCGGTTCTTGAACGATACACGCAATGGTTTTGTAGTCGGCACTATGTTCACCATCGCCGCCACGCTGTCTGTTAAGAAAATGTGTTCATTTTTTATTAATAATGATATATTTCGTCCCGTTAAACTAATTTAAAGTTGTTATTAAGTGCTGAAACAAAAGAGCAAATATGATTTGTTAAAAGTTCACAATTATATAGAGTCACAGATTATCCTAAGAAAGCGCAAGCGGAGCCCGGCGACGGCATGTCTGGCGAGATCGCCGACCGAGATCCATTCTACGCCTGCCCGGCCGCAGTCACTTTTGCTGCCACGCCGGATGCGCACAACAGCCTGGGCATGAGTGGAATGTCGTCAGACTGTAACCTCTACCCGAGATTTGGAGGGCATCAGCACCGTTGTTGCGTCAATGAAATCAACTTTGACCCTCAACAGACAAAAGAAGTGAGGTTTTGCATAATGATAATCCTACCCAAGTTATTTCCTGTCGGTACCAGGCAAGCAATAGACGCTAAACCTTCACTGAACAAAAAAAATTATTCCGCGCATTGCTCGCCAGCTTGTTATTCATACCGCGGTTGGAAATGGATTGAAGTGTTTTTATGGTACAGAACTTAACTATTAATTCAAAACTGAAATTGATCACTCATTAAAAAGCTATTCATGTGTAAGCTTGAAAGAAGTAGGCAGTAATGCCTGAAATGGTTTAACTTTTCACAATAAAATTCCTCGCTCATAAATTTTGCTAAGCGATTCAATACGGCCATTATAGCTCTACGCAGCAGAGTTTAGAAGTATCTTTTGTGCATTCATTGGTATTCTTACCATAAATAGAGATGAATAGCGCCAGCACAAAGTATTAAAAATATATTTGAAACGCCCGGTCACTGATCCCAAAGACCTGGAACAGGCCCGCTAGTCCAGCACATTTGTGGGAGGGGGAACAAGCTGGATGCTCCAAAGTTATCACCGCCATCGCAAATTGTGTGGGTGCTTCAAGTTTTTGAAGAGATTAATAGTTTAGGTATCGTTGAAGAGGCTAACAGTTTAGGAATCGTTGAACAGGTTAATAGTTTAGGTATCGTTGAATAGGCTAATAGTTTAGGTATCGTTGAAGAGGCTAACAGTTTAGGAATCGTTGAACAGGCTNTAGTTTAGCAATCGTTTAACAGGCTAATAGTTTAGGTATCGTTGAACAGGCTAATGTTTATGTATCGTTGAACAGGCTAATAGTTTAGGTATCGTTGAACAGGCTAATAGTATAACTAATAATAATGTATAGTACATGAATTGAAAATTATCAGATGATATTTTTTCAGGTTGACTAGACGTTAGAATTGGCAGATTTAATTTTTTTTATTCGGAAAAATTACACATTCATAAAATGATATCAACAAAGGAGTTTATTGAGCCACAGTTTTCATCTGGAAAAGATATAAATTTTAAAATTTGGGGAGCAATGTGCAAACGTCTTCCTGCTTAATAAAATCAAGTTTACGTTCGCCTGCATTTTGCGTAGCCAGCAGCCAGACAAAACGTGGCTGGCGCCAGACAAGAAATATTGAATGGAATTAACGTGAGAAAGAATTCAGCGAAAAGGCGGTCACTGCGAATTGAATGACTGAATGGCGAAAGTCGTCGTTGCAATGACTCGGCAGTCGACGGTCGGCGAGGGTGCAGGCGAACCAACAGAAAACGAAAGTTAGAGAACTCTCATAGAAAACGAGGACTCCATCTTAGAAAATGGAAGCTTTTATGAGAAACTTCAAAAAAGTATCGTCACGAGAGGCGGGCCGTGGATTGTTATTTGGTAGTAACAGGAACGGGACGACAATGTCACGCGCAGCGGAAGTGATACAATGGCCATACATTTTCACAACAACAATTATCAGAAGTTAAATTGCAGGAACATTACACGATTCAAATTCATGTTAAAAAAGTTCTTTTATGATTAAAAATTATTGAACTCGGCGGCATGAAATGCAAATGGGAACTCAGCGGCATGAAAAAATACTAGCTGGTCCTAAAGGATATAGTTGACATGGCAGTTAAATTAAAAAAAAAACATGAAGCTAAAGAGTGTAAAAAATTATGCAGAAAAAGATATGGTCAAGAAACGGGCAAGTAACATGACACTGATGACAGTAGGTAACAAAAAATAGTTTATTCTCAGTATGATAAAATTTATAAAATTTACCAGATATTAGCAGTAGCATCGACGCTATAATCCATTATTAGGCCTCAAAAATTAGAAGATCGCAATAGTTATAGCTTCAAAACTATTTCGCTCATGCAAAATTAAAATAATTCGACGGAGTTCTTTAGATTTATGCAACACCAAACCCAGTAATAACCGAGCTATTGCAACTGAAGAACTTGTTTTTTTTTAATAATACAATATAAGAAGACTGGTATAAATGATGCCCAAAATATCATGCGCTGACGAGCCAGACAAATAGTTGGGTAATTATTGGGAAGTAATTCGAAATATCACATTCAGATCACATCGAATGCGCAGGTATGCCAGTTATCAAGTTATATATTTTATACAGATATTCGATTAAATTTAGGAAATCCTATATTAGCAGATTTACGTTAGCGAAATTCTTGTTTGAAATTCTTAGAGTTGCGATGAAGGTATATCGTCGGGCAAAAAAAGATGAATGCAAGTGCAATTGCGTATTAAAAATGTATAATACATAGAAACATGTGTGCCTAGCATAATGTCATCGGCCATCATTCAGATGCAACTCGTTTTATGAGAACGCAAAAGTAGCGGTTTAGACTAAAAAATACAGTAATAATAACAATGTTTTTGTGCCACAAGAAATAACGAGCGTCCTTCAAGACTGAGATGCCAGCGAATTACTCAGGAACGCTGAAGCATTTTGACGCTGAATTGTCCGCAGTTTGTCGCGTTCCCGGACAACGGAGTACAAGGCCGGATGCTATTCCTGAATCAATTATTCATATAAATTAAAGTTAGTTTTAGAATAGATATTTTTAATGAACAAGAACTGGCACCGCTTGAGAGTAATTTGCAATATCTTAAAATGATGTAAAAAAACCTTCGTCAGATAACATTTTTGCGAGACAAATCTACATTAATTACTATTTCAATAGCAAACAAGCCTTATTGAAAATAGTATAAAATTACATCGATCTAATAAGCATAGATGGTAAATTTGCTGAGAGCAAAGGTCAAGCAAAATCTAGCAATAAGTCGCAATCGAATAGAAATAGTTAAGCATGGCGACTTAAACTAGGGGTCTGGTCAAAGCAAAGTCAAGGAACAAGTCGCATTTTTGACGCCTTGTTATTTGCACCTAATTAATCGTAGGTCATTCTTGGCCCTCATCGCGACCGTGCACGGAATGCGTGAACCACAACAGCACTTAATTGGCGACACAAAGAGAAAATAATACGGGATATTAGACGGCAAAAAGAGAACAATATACGGGATAATGGGCGGCACATAGAGAAAATAACGCGGGATAATCGGCGGCACAATCAGAAAATAAAATCAGGTAATGGGCAGTAGAAAGAGAAAATACGGGATAATGGGTGACACAATGAGAAAATAATACGGGATAATGGGTGACACAATGAGAAAATAATACGGGATAATGGGTGACACAAAGAGAAAATAATACGGGATAAAGGGTGGAACAAATAGAAAATAATACGAGATAATGAATGGCACAAAGAGAATATAATACAGAATAATAAGCTAAACAAACTTAAATAATACGGGATAATGGGCGGAACAAACATGACGGGCGACCTCGGCGAAGATTTGTTTACATGTATCAACTTTCAATGAATATAATGGGCGGAACAAACATGACGGGCCAGCTCGGCGAAGATTTGTTTACATGTATCAACTTTCAATGAAAATAAATAACGATACTAGGAGAAAATATTAGATAGTGTCTAACTATTAGCCAATAACTTTAACCAATATATCATAATTTGCTTTTGTTATATAACCAAAGCTGAAATGAATACCACAGTATCAATGGCAGGTCACCGGCCATCTAGTGGTCAATAACGTGTCATCGAAGAGCGTTAATCATTGTCGGTTGTGATAAAAATATTCACTGAGTTGCAAGTGTGTTATTGACGGCAAATAAAATGAGCGAGATTTGCCGTAATGTTCTCCTCGAAATTAATTTCTACGAGAGCGTCATTCGGTACAATGGCTATTTAATAGCCATTGTACCAAACGACGTCCTTTGGCTAAGACATTTCCGTGCAGTGAAAATGGCCAAGAAGAGTCGATGGTTTGCCAGAGAATATTCAGTGAAGAGTTTTTAGGAGGGAAGCTCATGCGTCTCGCATGCATGCGCACAGGTCTTGCAGAATAAAGTAGCCGCAAGAGCCTCAGCCTTCCTAACGCCACAATATTACGCCGGCCTTGGTTTGTGGTCATCCTACCTACGCAATGTAGTGCGTGCTGCTGCTGATAGCTGCTGCTGATGTTTTTTACTGCTGGCTGTAATGATCTTGCTGTATTTACTGCTTTTTATTTAGTGTATTTTATTTACTTTAATTCTTGCTGTATTCACTCTTTTTATTAACTGTATTTTTATTTACTGTATTTCTTGCTGTATTTACTGCTTTTATTTACGGTATTTTTATTTACTGTATTTTATTTACAGCATTAACTGCTTTTTACTTACTTTACTATATTTCTTGCCGTGTTTACTGCTTTTTATTAACTGTATTTTTATTTACTGTATTTTATTTACTGTATTTCTTGTTGTATTTACTGCGTTTTTTTACTGCTGGCTGTAATGCTCTTGCTGTATTTAATGATACTGCGTAAGTGTAATTTACAACGATTTTAACTCCTGTTGTCTC